CAGGGCAGGGTTATGAAATCAGGCAGGCCTTCAGATTCCCAAAAGAAGTCTAGAAAAACATCAGCCTTGCTCATTCCAGAAGCTAAAGGCATTCAACAACAGAGAAATGCAGCCCTGCAGAGAAGCAGGTTTTTACCCTGGCCTGACATCCCCTCTCCCAGGGACAGAGGACAGCACATTCCAGCCAGGCAGCTGGTGCTGGAGGTGGTGTCTCGCTGTTACGTAAGGACAAAATGGCCACCCCAAAATTCCACCCCTTTTCTGCAAGCCTGGATGGAACCCAGGAGCCACCACCTGCTCCTGGCTAGCCGACACTCTCTCCAGCACTGAGCTGCAGATCCACAGGAGGAGAGACCCACAACGGAGATGCCCCTCCAGCTTTTTGGCAATGGGGAACAGGAAGATCAGGCTGGTCTGGCACTTTCCCCGTGTCACGGCTGGCTGTGCTGCGCCTTTGCCGAGCTGCCCTCCCTGGAAGGCTTAACTAAAAAAATAAGAGGAGGTGGCAAGCATCGGATGTTTGGTGACGAGAAAGACTTATCTCGAGGGTATTTGTAGGACACACCTACAGGCTTAACCTTGCAGAGGACAGGGAGCCTTTCAGCTTAGCAAAAAGCACCTGGCTGCCTTCAGGCAAGCTGTAAAAACCTGCTTTACAAGATAAAAGCAAGCTTGGGGGTTTTCTTTTCACATTTAACTAGGCAGAAGTGTAGACCACAGCGCTGCATCCCCACTCCAGGATGGAGATTGCTGCACGTGGCAGCGCCCCGGTACTGCAGCCCCATTTCCTACGTGCCATCCATCACCACCCGCTGCGGCTCCATCTTCCACCAGGAGAACGAGGGCCAGACCAGAGATAAAGGACGAGCACGTGTCCAGCCGGCCTGGGAAACGTCTTACTCCCATCAAATTAAATTATCAATTTGTTGGGTGGAAAGGGAATTAAGGCCGGCGGTGGATCACTCAGGCTAACAGCAATAAATGAAAGTTTTAGTAACAGGTTTAGATAGATAAAATAAAAAAAAATTTTAAAAAAAAAAAAAAAAAAAAAAAAAAAAAAAAAAAAAAAAAAAAAAAAAAAAAAAAAAAAAAAACACAAAAAACGCAGGCTGCTGCAGACTCTCCAAGCTCTTTATCTAGTGCAAGTGAAGTTTCTCAGACAAGTTTCACAGGCAGAAGTCCCTGGTTCAAGCACGTGGCTCGCAGCAGTGCTTCCGGCCTCGCACAAAAAACTTTTGCTTAATCCGGTGATGGGCTGGAAACCTGCTGGCACCAGTACGGACCATTAACCCATCGACCTCCTTTTATATTAGCCAGAATTCTTCTCTATAAACGGGATCTCGGGCATAAAATTACACTCTTCAGAGGGTTTGATTTTTTTTTTTTAATTAAGCACTTCTAATTGCACAAGTTCCTGGATGTGTCTGAGTAACCAAAAATTTGTCTCTGCACCTTCGAGCCAAGGCAACTAATGATGAGCAGCAGGAAAATTAACAATTTAACATGACAAAACCTTCATAAAACACTGATTTTTTTTGTTAACCTGTGCCTCTCCGATACCGAGTTGCCTTATCAGAACAAAAGCAGGTTTTTAGATACTGCCGCCTACTTTTAGTAGTCTGAGGAGACAGTCGGGAGGTTGCTATTGTCCGCCGACAAAAGCGCTATTCATGCCTTGGTAGCTCTGCAAAGGGGGTTTAAACACGTTTGGAAGGTTTTCACAGTTCAAGAAACTGCCCAAATCAGTTGGACGTGCTTAAGCGGGCACAACTACGGGAGAAGATTAATTCAGGAAGGGCCTTCTCTTCCCGGGGGGGGCCGGGAGCAGGCTGCAGCATCGCTGGCGGGTGCAGTGAGCCGGACGGTGATTTAAGCCGATGCCCTTCGGGGAACTGCCGGCTCTTACGTGAGAGCAGGCGGGGTGGGGGAGGCGGCCTAGCGCCTCACTCCGTCTGCCTCTGACTCAGCCTCCAGCGGCTCGCTGCCCGCGCCGGGCGGCAGCCGCAGCGGCGCCCTGCGCTCCGCTTAACGGCACGGCCGCCGGGCACACGCGGGGCTCCCCGCTCCCGCGTGCCCCGCCTCACTAGCACCCCAAACCGTACCCCCGCCGCCACCCCGCTCCCGGAACGGCCGATTCCCGCTGTGGGCCGTGGGGAGATGCTTTGGAGCCGGCGTTCCTCGGCGTGGGATCGGAAGGGATGCTCGGAGCGGGCGCTCCCCAATGCTGGGACGCGGAGGGATGCTCGGAAAGGGCGTTCCCCGGTGCGGGATCTCGGGGGATGCCCGAGGCAGAGGAGGGGACGCGGGGCCGGGGCTGCCGGCAGCCACGTGCACGACGCCGCGAGCCCCCTCCTCAACCCGTAGGGCGCGCGCCCCCTCCCCTCAGCCGCCGCCCGGGGGGACCCTCTCCCGGCGGCGGAAACACGGGAATAACGGCGGTACCGGCGCGGCCGGCCCCACCGCTCGCAGCCCCTCAGGTCGCCGTTACCTGCCGCCGCTCAGTCACGCCGCTAACGCGTCCTCTCTCCCCGAGCGCCGCCGCCGCTCTGCACGCTGCCCCCACGCCCCGCCAAGGTGATCCCGGCCGGCCGCAGCACCGCCCCCCTCGGATCCCTCCGCCGCCCGCCCTGCCGGGGGCCGCAAGGGCGGGGCGCCGGGGCTACTTTCAGGGGCGGACGCACAAAGCACGGGGGAGGCGCTGAGTCACAGCACGCGCTCGGCCGGCCAATGAGGAGGCGGCACAGCTGCCGCGCGCGCGGACGGAGAGTGGCCGTCGCCTTAAAGGGACCGCGGCCCGGCGCGGCGCTCTTAAAGGGACCGCGGCCCCCCTACTCACACTGACACCCCCAGCTCACACCTCAGGGGTCCCTCACTCTGGGGGGGACAGCGGCTCCGGGTGTTTTGGGGTGCTTTGGAGGGTCCCGAGACCTTCCAATGGGGACACTGGCGAGCAGTGTGGAATCTCTGCAGTGGGGCTATGAGGACACAGTACTGGGAACACTGGGGACACGAGGCTGGAGATGCTGGTGACATGGTGCTGATGCCTTAAACAGCTGGAACTGAGGCTAGATGGTGTTAGGAAGAATAGAGTGGGTTTCTATTGAAGTGCCTTCAAAGGCCACACCCTGGCAGATGGCTCCAACATGGAAGGAAAAGAAGGCTTGGTCACGAGATCTGACATTTTTATAAGTTTTAGTCTTTTTGCATATAGGATTTAACTTTCCAATTAATAGCTCCAAATTATGAAGTTTCATCCTCCTTGCTTGCTTGCCTGCTGTACTCATTTCATGTTGTTTATGCTCTGGGCCTGAAGTTTGAAGAGCTTGTCCTTGAGTCTCCACCTAGAGCAGGATTGTTTTGTCTTCAGCCACCCTGTGAAAAGATCCCAGTAACACTCGGTATAAAGCTAAAAGTTGCACGCCAACACAGAATGGAAGAGAAAAGCTTAAAACCTAAGTAATCAGTGCTGGGAGTGCTGAGGACACTGTGCTGGGGTCAAGAGAGATCAGGCTGGAGATGCTGGGGCCACAGGGGACACTGTCCCAGCTGTGTGGGAACACAACATGGACACTGAATGGCAAATCCATGAAGGCCTTTGCCTGGTTGTACTGGGGACCCCGTGCTGGAGGTATTGGGGACATGATCCCAGAACCATGGGGACCTTTTGCCTGTGACCCATGACAGTGGCTCCACACTGGCACCGTGGTGACACTGGGGACATGCCATTAACACAGGGACCTGTCCCACAGACCCTGTGCTGGACTGTAGGGACGCTCTGACAGCCATCTGGGGACCCCAAATGTATGCTGGGACCACAGAGGGGTTCTGTAGTGGGCACATTGGGAAGCCTGTGGTCCATGGAGGGGACCCAAAATAGTCACCCTGTGCTGGGGAGCTGGGAGCCCTGTACTGGGGACGTTGGGGACTCTGTACTGGGGACACTGGGGAAACTGGGCTGGGACATTGGGGAGTCTGTACTGGGGACATTGGGGACTCTGCACTGGGGACATGAGGGAAACTGGGCTGGGATATTGGGGACTCTGTACTGGGGATGCTGTGAACTCTGTACCGGGGACACTGGAGAAACTGGGCTGGGGACACTGGGGACTCTGTACTGGGGACATTGGGGACACTGGGCTGGGGACATTGGGGACTCTGTACTGGGGACACTGGGGACTCTGCACTGGGGACATTGGGGACTCTGTACTGGGGACGCTGTGAACTCTGTACCGGGGACACTGGAGAAACTGGGCTGGGGACACTGGGGACTCTGCACTGGGGACACTGGGGACACTGGGCTGGGGACATTGGGGACACTAGGCTGGGGACACTGGGGACTCTGTACTGGGGACACTGGGGAAACTGGGCTGGGGACATTGGGGACTCTGTACTGGGGACATTGGGGACTCTGTACAGGGGACATTGGGGACTCTGTACTGGGGACACTGGGGAAACTGGGCTGGGGACATTGGGGACTCTGTACTGGGGACATTGGGGACTCTGTACTGGGGACATTGGGGACTCTGTACTGGGGACACTGGGGAAACTGGGCTGGGGACATTGGGGACTCTGTACTGGGGACATTGGGGACCCTGTACAGGGGACATTGGGGAAAGTGGGCTGGGGACATTGGAGACTCTGTACTGGGGACATTGGGGACTCTGTACTGGGGACATTGGGGAAAGTGGGCTGGGGACATTGGGGACTCTGTACTGGGGACATCGGGGACTCTGCACTGGGGACACTGGCTGGGCTGCGGGAACGCTGTGGCAGTCAGGGAGGGGACCCAAAATGGTCACCGTGCGCTGGGGACACGGGGTCTGTGTTGGACCGTGGGGTCACCGCGAGGGAGACCCGCCATGGCCACCCCACGTCCCCGTGCTGGCCGGGAACCCCCGGCACGGGGATCCGGGGCGCTGCGCCCGCAGCTCCGGCCCCGCCATGGCGCCGCGCCGCCCCGGGGGGGCCCGGCGGTGACGTCATGGCGGCGCCGCCGGTGACGCGCGCGGCGGCCGTGACGTCAGGCGCGGCCCTCCGGCAGCATGGCGGCCGTGCCCGCGGCGGCCGGCCCGCGCTGACATGGTGAGGGGCCGGGACGCGGGAGGGGACCCGGGCACACGGGGACACGGCCGCGGGGCAGCGCGCCCGCCAGCGGGGCGGGACGGGCCCGCGGGGCTCGGGGCAAGGGAGGGGCAGCGGCCCTCGGTGTTCCCCCGGGGTCCCCCGGCTCGGGGCGGGGATGGGGCCGCAGCAGGAGGAGGGAGCCCCGCGTCGCGATCGGCCGGGCATCCCCGGCAGCTCCATGCGCAGTCCCCGTCCTGGTCCTCCATCCTGGTCTTCCGTGCCGCTGTTCCCATCCTGGTCCTCCATCCTGCTGATCCTGCTTCCCAATCCTGCTGTCCCATCCTGCTCTCCCACACTGGTTCTCCATTCCTCTGTTCCCATCTTGCTCCCCCACACTGTTCTCATCCTGTTCCCCCATTCCAGTGTCACCATCCTGATGGTCCATCCTGCTGTCTCCATCTTGCTCCCCTCTAATCTGCTCCCTCCATCCTCCCTTTCCCAGCCTGCTCCTCCATCCCACTGTGCCCCAAATTATTCCTCCCATCCCACTGCCCACATTTCACATCCCCATCCTGCTGTCCCCAAACACTCCCCCCAACCCCTGTTGTTCTCCCCATATTACTGCTCCCCCCAAATCGTTCCCTCAATCCACTGCCCTCAGCCCTCTCCCCAGAACCAGCTCTGCTGCCCCCTAATTCCCTCCCTGTTAATGTGCTCCCCTAATCCACTTCCCAACCCTCTCCCCCATCCCTGCTGCCTCCCACCCCTCCATCCCCAGGACCTCAAGGGCCAGTACTGGACGGACGATGACTCCGACGGGGACAATGAATCCGAGGAGTTCCTCTATGGCGTGCAGGTGGGTGCTGGGTCCCCCTGGTGCCACGGGAGGCTCAGGAAGCCCCAGGCTGAGCCTGATGCCAGGCCTGGGGCTGCAGGAGGCTGTGGGAGGCTCTGGGTGTGACGGTGCTGTGCCGCAGGGGACCTGTGCCGCCGACCTGTACCGGCACCCGCAGCTGGACGCCGACATCGAGGCGGTGAAGGAGATCTACAGCGAGAATGCCGTGGCCGTCAGGTGGGTGCAGCTGCTGCCCCTGCACCGGGCAGTGCCAGGCCCAGGCACGTGGCCGGGCCGTGCCAGGATAGCTGCAGTATCCCCAGGCATCCAGCTGTGCTGTCCCTGGGCACCCAGCTGTGCCATGCCCAGGCATCCTGCCTTGCCATCTCTGGGACACTTGGCCGTGGTATTACCAGAACATCTGGTCGCAGCATCCCCGGGCATCTGGTTGTGCCATCTCTGGGGCATCTGATCATGGCATCCCCAGGGCACCTGGCTGAGCCATCCCTCAGGCATACCCTCCCCAGGGCACTGGCCACAGTATGCCCTGAGTGCTTGGCCTTACTATCCTTGGGCACCCAGACATGGCATTTATGGAGCATCCAGCTGTGGCAGCCCCAGGCACTCATCTGTGCCATCTTCAGACACCCAGCTGTGCCATCCCTGGGCACCCAGCTATGCTGTGTCCAGGGCTCTCCGCTGTGGCATCACTGGGTCACCTGGCCATGGCATTACCAGACATCCAGCAGTACCATCCCTGGGCTATCTGGCTGTGCCATCCTCAGACATCCAGCAGTGCCATCCCCAGCACACCTGGACATGCCATTCCCAGGCACTTGACGATGCCATCTTGCAGCACCCAGTAGTGGTAGCCCTGCCTAACCAGCTGTGCCATCCTTGGGGCACCTGATTATGGCGTTACCAAGGTTGACATCTGCATTCTGGGCAATCCCCCTGTGCTTACACTTGATACACAGGGAGCCACACGTGCCAGTGTCACTGTCCCATGATCCTACCCCGGCACAGTGGGCACTGGGCCACTGTTTCAGCACCGTGCCACCCCCCCGTGCCACAGCAACGCGTGTCTTCACAGGGAGTATGGGACCATCGACGACGTGGACATCGACCTCCATGTGAACATCAGCTTCCTCGATGTGAGAGCCTGGGGTGCCCCCAGCAGTGCTGGGGAGGGCATGGGAAGGGTGGGCACGTGCGCCCCAGGGGTCTCCAAATCCGCCTGCCTGGGTGGAGCTCCCGTGGCTGTGCCCAAGTGTGTCTCTGCCTTGGCAGGAGGAGGTGGCGACGGCCTGGAAGGTGCTGCGGACGGAGCCCATCGTCCTCCGCCTGCGCTTCTCCCTCTCCCAGTACCTCGATGGCCCCGGTGAGTGGGGACGGGCGGGATGTGTTGTCCCTGTCCCTCAGGACAGGCACAGTGGTGCACCGATGGCTCGTCCTCCTCTCTCCCCACAGAACCGTCCATCGAGGTTTTCCAGCCGTCCAACAAGGAGGGCTTCGGGCTGGGTCTGCAGCTGAAGAAGTAAGAGCTGAAACATGGTGGGCACACCAGGGTAGCGGGTGGGGTGGCTCACAGAGTCACTGTTCTGCCCCAAAACTGGTCACGTGCCACACGTCCCCTCTCCACCGCCTTCTATCCACCACACAATCCTGTGACGGGCGCACCACCGTGTGTGGGCTCGGGGTGTCAATGGACCACCAAGCACCCATGGGCGCTGTCCCCCCTGTTTGCCAGGATCCTGGGCATGTTCACATCCCAGCAATGGAAACATCTCAGCAATGATTTCCTGAAGACCCAGCAGGAGAAGCGGCACAGTTGGTTCAAGACAAGCGGCACCATCAAGAAGTTCCGTGCTGGTCTCAGCATCTTCTCACCCATCCCCAAGTAAGGTCCCGATGCTGTCCCCACAGGGGACGAGCCCTCCATCCCCTCATCCTGGGTGAGGCCTGACACTGTGCCTCAGTTTCCCCACTTGGATGTTGCTGCTCCCTACCAGATCCCAGGCAGGCAGAGGTTGCTCCCAACAAGTTGGGTGGATCTGGCACTGGGTGATGGAGGAGCAGGGAATGGTGACAAACAGGTGCTCAGGGGGATTGTGTGCCTGCAGGTCTCCCAGCTTCCCTGTTATCCAAGATTCGGTGCTGAAGGGCAAACTGGGCATCCCTGAGCCTCGCGTGAACCGCCTGATGAACCGCTCTGTGTCCTGCATGGTGAAGAATCCCAAGGTGGAAGTTTTTGGCTACCCACCCGCCAGCACCCAGGCAGGTGTTGCCCCCTTCAACATCCTGGTGGGTGCCACCCCACCTTGGGGTTTGCTTTTCTCTTCTTTCCCCTTCCCAGGGGCTCCTCTGGGGTCAGATTGTTTGTTGTGGGTTGCTGGGACCGCCATGGGATGGGGGGAGCCCCTGCAGAGTTTCTTGTCCCCAGTCTTGGGGAATTGGGGCCTGGCTGTGGGGTCCAGTGGGATTTTACCCCACTCCTGGTGCTGCATACCTGCTCTGCCAGGGAATGTTGGCATGCTGGGGGTCCTGCTATGCCAGGGGGTGTTTGGATGTCGGAGGTCCAGCTGTGCCAGGAGGGGTTTGGCATGTTGGGGGTCCCACCATGCCAAGGGGTGTTGGCATGTCAAGGATCCCACTGTGTTGGGGGTGTTGGGTTGTTGGGGGTCCTGCTGTGTTTGCGGGGGGTTGGCATGTTGGAGGGTCTCACTGTGCCGGGGCACACTGGAACGTCAGGGGTCCTGCTGTGCCAGGGGTTTGGTATGTTGGGGGTCCTGTTGTGCCGGGGGGAGCTGGGGGCTGCCCGTGCCATGCAGAGCTGGGGCTGCGTGTGGGAAGGGGATAATGCAGCTGGCTCGGCTCTGGCTCTCACAGGTCGGCGGCCACTGCAAGAACATCCCCACGCTGGAGTACGGCTTCCTCGTGCAGGTGAGAGTCCAGCGTGCTGCTCATCCTCAGCCTGCTGCCCAGAGCATCCTTCCCCACTGGCCCACTTCCCACTTATGCACATCCTGCCATCTGGAGCATTCTCCCCACTACCCCATGTCCTGCTCATCCTTATCCTGATGCCCAGAGTGTCCTTCTCGCTGTTCCACATTGGACTCAACCCCATCCCAATGCCCAGAACATCTTCCCCAGTGCCTGACATCCCACTTATCCACACTCCACTGCCTATATCATCCTCCCCACTGACCAGAGTCCCACTCATGCCCATCCCACTGCCTGGAGCATCCCCCAAGCTCCATGTCCGCAGCAGGGCCTGACTGCCTCCATGCTTCCCCTCAGATCATGAAGTACGCGGAGCAGCGGATCCCGACGCTCAATGAGTACTGCGTGGTGTGTGATGAGCAGCACGTCTTCCAGAACGGCTCCATGCTGAAGGTGGGGTGGCAGGGCCAGGCCACATGTGGGCTGTGCCCCTGTGTCACCGTCCCTGACACTCACCACTCTGCTGTCCCCTCCACAGCCGGCCGTGTGCACCCGGGAGCTCTGCGTCTTCTCCTTCTACACCCTGGGTGTCATGTCCGGTGCGGCCGAGGAGGTGGCCACGGGTGCTGAGGTAGGGCTGGGGGCAGTGGTGACCCCCTCCAGCCCCATGGAGAGTTGTCCCTTCAGTCCCTGCTGTGTCCCAAGGTGGTGGACCTGCTGGTGGCCATGTGCCGCGCTGCCCTCGAGTCCCCTCGCAAGAGCATCATCTTTGAGCCTTACCCCTCCGTGGTGGACCCCAACGACCCCAAAACTCTGGCCTTCAACCCCAAGGTAAGCGCTGGGGGGACAATGCTCCCCCACACCAGGGGTGATGGGGACTACCAAAGACCCCTCTGATGGCCACTCCTCTCCTGCCCCATGTGCAGAAGAAGAACTACGAGCGGCTGCAGAAGGCTCTGGACAGTGTGATGTCCATCAGGGAGATGACTCAGGTACATGGCATGGCCCCACAGCCCCCTGGCCCCGTGTGACCTCCCCGGTGCGGGATCCAGGTGGGAGTGGCATTTTGCTGCTGATCTCCATCTGCCCATGGCTGGGTGGATGCTGGGGGACCCACCTGCACCCCATCTTGCCTTTGCCAGGGGTCCTACTTGGAGATCAAGAAGCAGATGGACAAGTTGGACCCCCTGGCACATCCCCTCCTGCAGTGGTAAGGCTGAGGCCCTCTCCTGCTGCCCCTTGTCCCTCCCACTGCCCCACATTCCCCAGGACATGGGATGGAGTGGGGGGCAGCCAGGTATCTGTGGCACAGCCCTCTCATCTCTTTTCTCCTGGGGGGTCCTGGGCATCTAGTGATCTTGGGGCAGGTTGGGATCAACTTTTCTGACCCTCCTCCTCTTCCTCCTCCTCTTCCCAAGGATAATCTCCAGCAACAGATCCCACATTGTCAAGCTGCCTCTCAGCAGGGTAAGGGGCCAGGCCAGGCTCCAGGTGGGGTGCAGAATGGAGGGTATGGAATATGGGAGATGGAGTGGAGGGATACAGGAGATGGGATGCAGGATGTAGGCTATGGGCTGCAGGATGAGGCATGTAAGGATGTGCGATGGGCGATGGAAGGGTCTGGGATGTGGGATGGATCCCTCTGAGTGGGGTTCTAGCCTGGGAGATATGGGAGTTGGGACACGGGATATAGGATGTGGGGTGTTTGGCACAGGCTGTGGGATGGGAGCAAGACACGTAAGTGAAGGACCCTTCTGGCAGACTTGGAGTCCCCAGAACCAGGCTGGGCTGGATCCAGGGCCTGGCAGCCGTGCTTGATCTCTGTCTGTCTGTCCTCTCTCCTGCTGGCACTGCCGTTGCTCTACCCTGGTAGCAGCTGAAGTTCATGCACACCTCCCACCAGTTCCTCCTGCTCAGCAGCCCCCCGGCCAAGGAAGCCCGGTTCCGCACGGCCAAGAAACTCTACGGCAGCACCTTCGCTTTCCAGTGAGTGGCCAGAGTGGGGGGAGAGCGGTGCATGGGGTGGGTGCTGTGGGGCTGATGGACGAGGGGCTGATGCAGGACTGGCTCTTTCCAGTGGCTCTCACATTGAGAACTGGCATTCCATCCTCCGCAATGGGCTGGTCAACGCCTCCTACACCAAACTGCAGGTACCAGTCTGCTCCCTGCACCCAGCACACCCCAGGGCAGCAGGCGGGCAGGAAGGCAGGGAGGGAGCAGACATTGGGAAGTGCCAGGCTTCCTCCACTACTGCCCGAACAGTTGGGGTGATCCCACATGCTCACCCTGGTGTTTTCCTGCAAGCTGCATGGAGCAGCCTATGGCAAGGGCATCTATCTGAGCCCCATCTCCAGTATTTCCTTTGGATACTCAGGTAAGAGGCTGTCTGCACTGCCCGGTCCTGCCTGTGCTGCCCGGTCCTCCTGCCTGCGCTCCCATTCCCAGCCCCTGCATGGGCCCGGGGAGGTTTGGCGTTGTGCTGGCTGGAGAAGCTGTGCAGGAGTGGCAGCATCCCATATCCATCCCATCACACCAGCCTCTTCCCAGCCGGGCTGGGGATTTCCCATATGCCAAAGAATCAAACCCCCAACATTTTCTAGGCTTCAGAAGCTGCTGCACACACTTCTGGGGGGTTCCCAGGGCTCAGGAGCACTGAGGGTGGTGATCCCTGTCTGTGGCATGTGTCCCCACATCACCCCAGGGTGTTTTCTGAGACACTGACAGCCCTCACCTTGCTTCTTCCACAGGAATGGGGAAAGGGCAGCACCGGATGCCTTCGAAGGATGAGCTGGTGCAGCGGTACAACCGGATGAACACAATCCCCCAGGTGATGGGCCAGGGGACACCAGGGTAGGATGGGAATGGGGACATGGCACCCATAGATATTTGGGACAGGGTGGTAACACCAGCTGCTCTTCCCACAGACCCGCTCTATCCAGTCCCGCTTCCTCCAGAGCCGCAACCTGAACTGCATCGCGCTTTGCGAAGGTGTGGAGATGTGGGGGGATAATGGAGGGGGGGACAGGCAGCACCCTTGGGGTCACCAGGTGGGTGGAGGGATGGAGGATCCCCGCTATGGGCCTGTGTCCCCCATCCCACCTCCAACAGCCCCTTGCCCCAGCAGTGATCACCTCCAAGGACCTGCAGAAACATGGCAACATCTGGGTCTGCCCTGTCTCGGACCACGTCTGCACACGCTTCTTCTTTGTGTGAGTCCAGCGTGCCCCCCCTGCTGCACCTGCGGGACCCCCGCAGAACCCCCCTCACCCGCTTCTCCTCTTCCAGGTACGAAGATGGCCAAGTGGGAGATGCCAATATCAATACTCAGGACCCCAAAATCCAGAAGGAGATCATGCGTGTGATCGGGACTCAGGTGTACACAAACTGAGTGGTGGCAGTGGAACCCTGGGAGCCCCGGGCACCGAGTGAGCCCCCGGGCAAGACTGGGCAGGGGCCGAGCAGGTTTTGAGCCCCCCGGGCAGGGCAGAGCCAGGGCAACACCTGCGGCTCCACCTGTACATAGGCGTTGGGCACCCTGTGAGCACCAGGCAGGTTCAGTGGTCCCTTATCCCCTCCCTGTCCCCTTCCCACTGTCCCTAACTCTGTGGCAGCCTGGAGAAGGAGCCGTGGGTCTGGCGTGGCTGGGGACGGCCCCTCCTGGCGTTGGCAGCGACGGCGTTTTTATCAATGATACGAGAAACTGAAGCAAAAAAAAAAAAAAAACCAAACAACCAAAACAAACCCAAAAACATAGGAAAAAAAAAAGAGAAAAGGAATCGGTGTTTGTGGATTGAACTTGGCATTTAAGTGTGGGGTATGGGAAGTGGATGCTGGAGAAGGCATGGGGGTACAGGGATGGAATGGGACTGTGAGGAAAGTCAAGTGGCACAAGGAAAGGGATGGGATCACAGGAAAGGGATGGGACAGGGTCATGGCAAAGGAGTGGGATTCAAGGGAAGGGTGGGAGATTGAGGGAGGAATAGGGGCACAGGGAAGGGATTAGAACCTGGAGAAGGGATGGGGGCACAGGTAAGGGATGGAATAATGAGAAAAGGATAGGATTGTGGAGAAGGAGCAGGAAACAAGGAATGGTATGTTGGGGAAGGGATGGGATTGAGGGGACAGGATGGGACGGGATGGTGGGGAAGTGCCATAGAGAATTGATGCAGCTTTGGGATAGGGCTGGGAGGGAACTACTCCCCCTGTGGAGTAGAATAGATGGTGCTGTGGAGGCAGAACACAACGGAAAAGGGATTGTGCCTTAGGGATGGGAACATGGGACCCCACGTAGCAGCCCCCCTGGCATCAGTGCTGCAGCAGAGATTCAAGTGGGAAGGAACCTCCCAGGAATAGCATTTTGTTTCAGCCCAAGCCCATCCCAGTAACTCCATGGACACAGAGGCAGTGCCAGCACAGCTGCATCCTGCTACACCCAAACCTGGATGGAAACTCAGCAGAGATAACCCAGAGGCTGCCAGGGCTCAGGGTGGGCAGAGGGGGCTGGGCACTGCTGGTCCCCACAGTCCAGGGGCTCTCCTGGTCAGTCACAGCAGCACAAGGCCACGATTTCAGCCAGGATTTACGATGGAACTTAAGAACCGATGTAAGAATTATCCTGGTTTTGGTACAGTCACCACCTGAGTCCTGACATTCAGTCCTGGCATGTCCCTGTCTTCTGTGCCCACTGGATCCCAAAACTGTCCATCCCCACTTGTCCCACACTGGCTGCTCCATGTATCCAAGGGTCACCCAAACCTGGGCAGGTCATTCCCCTGGCCCTGCCACCTACCCCTTGGTGGGGGTGGTGCTTAAATTTGTAGGGTTTGATGTTTTTTCCTTTCCTCCAATAAAAAATAAGTCACTTTCCTGGGATCATGACAGTCACTTAGCTGTACCCAAAAATGCAAAGGGACATCCCATGGGACACGGCCACATCTCTCTGAAGCTCCTCCGTCCCTTGGAAAGATAAGTGAAACCACAGGGCTGTGTCCTGTCCTGATTCCCTCTGCAGCCAGGGTGAATTCTTCCAAAAACAGCAATTCCTGTGAAAAAGCAAATAACAAGAGAGGCCTGTGGTGCTCTCCCAGCTTCACCAAATTGTGTTGGATGCTGCAGCCCAGATGGAGTTGAGCTGGCCATAAAGGGGGCCTGGGTGTCGTGTTTGGGTGGTGGACGCAGCAGTGATTGCTCCAAAGAACCAACAAAGGTGACGATTTTGACAAAATAAGTTTATTTCGCTTCACTTAATTTTGGCCGAAACCTCACATTTTTCTTTAATTTTTTTTTAAGTTTTTTTGGCTGAAAAAAAAAAACCCAACCCAAAAATCCCCCCAGACCAACCCAAAATGCAAAGAACCACATCACTCCACCCCCTGCCAGAGGTGACCAAGGGGCTCCAACTCCCCCTGGGCCATGGAGCTGGGGGAGCCACTGCAGTCCCCCCGTCAAATCCCCTCTGCATCCCCCCCAGTCCCCAACCACAAACTGGCCCCCGAAACCAAGCCCTTGAACCCCCCAAATCCGAGCCCTGTAGGAAACGCTCGTGGCTCTGAACGCCCGAGGGTTTTACTCAACCTTCTTAATTTTTGTTGGATTTTCTCCTCCTTTCCCAAAGTTTTTTTGTGTGTTTTGTTTTGTTTTTTTTTAAATTAATTTATTTATAGATATATTTAAAAAAAGCAATAGTCCTTTGGTCCCTAAACTCTAAGGAATGATATGACTCTGAAACAAGTAATCCTATGTCCCTGTGCCAGTGACAAGCAAGGGAAGCGCATGTCCCGCCACCCTGCTCCATGGGATATATATATATATATACTTATTTATATATATCTTCTATAAGTCCAACATACTTTGATCCTTCTTTTTTTTTCCCCAATGCAGGGAAAAAGGAAAATCTTGCCGTTTTTCTTTATCATCCAAACAAACATCCTCCAGGTGAAGCGCCCGAGGCTGGTCCCGTCCCACCGGCTTTGGTTTAAGAATCCATTTGGAGCCTCTTTTCCTCGTTTCTCCTGGGAAATCGGTAGCAGCAAATGAGTGCTTTAAAAAAAAACCCAAAAAACAAAGGTAGATCGTGGCCCGGCTGCCCGGAGCCATCAGCCTTGCTCCCAGTGAGGGATCCGGTGAGTCCCGGCGAGCGGCCGGCGGCCAGTCGCAGCCCCGGCGCCGCATTGCTCCCCTCCTTCCTTGTCTTCCTCTCATTCCCGTTAAACAACAAACAAGACCAGTTTGGGAAAAAATTCAAAAAGGAAAAGCTACGACCAAAACGCTCTCTTCTTTGCCATTTTCTCCTTCACCTCCTCCTCCTCCTCCTTTTCCTCCTCCGGGATGCGTTGCAAAGAAAGAGAGTTACGGGTTTGGATACTGCACTTGGGGAAGGGGAAAGTCGTCAGACACTGCGGGACGTCCGACCTGAAACAGAAGGGAAAGGCTGTCAGCCTGTTTCTGGGGGATGGAGGGAGGAACCCAGATCCATTGAGTGGGTGGTGCCAGGCAGAGATCCCTGCACACACTCGGGATGTAAACACGGGAACAGGGGGATGCTCCAAGACCACCACGTCCCCCAGGGCCAGGCGCCCTCACCTCTCCGCAGGCTGAGCTGGGGTCAGTAGGGTCTGTTGGCGTCTTTTGGCCGCTTTAGCTGCACTTTTAGCCTCTTCATGCCGATCTGGAAGCCATTCATGGCCTGAATGGCCGCCTGAGCACTCGTCGGATTGTCAAAACTGACGAAACCTGGCGGGGAGGGGACACAGGGGCTTGTCACCACACACATCACAGGCGGCTGCCTCGCCTCAACCCAGGCACTGAAATCCTGTGGGATGCTCCTGGTTTGCGAGTGCTGGGAGAGGGGGTCCTTGGGTAACATCACAGCCCCAGGTTGCAGGGGATTGGGTGACAGGTGACGGCACCTGCAGGGACACCGAGGTCTGCAGGGACACTGAGCTGACAAGGCTGTGAGGACAGCAGCATAAGAGGGTCCACAGGACACTGGAGTAATCTGCAGGGACACTACACGATGGGATTTGTGGGGTCACTGGGTAACAGAGTTTGTTGAAGTGAGGGGTTGCAGGGAGACTCAGGTGATGGGGTCTGTGGGAACACTAAGGTCTGCAGGTATGTGGAGATACCAGGGTGATAGGGTTTGTGGGACACCAGAATGGGATGTTTGGGCTCAAGGGACATCTGTAGGTCAGGTCTGCAGAGACCTTGAGGTGATAGGGTCACACCATAGTGAAAGAGTCTATGGGGACACAGGTCTATCTATGAGAGGGAGATACAGATCCCTGAGCTGGGGACATAGGGGAGAGTTGGACCCCAAGCAAGGGACAGCAGGAAGACATGGACATCTGAGCTGGAGACTAGGGAAAGAGAGATCCCCAAGAGGAGATGTTGGAGAGACAGACTCTCAAGCAGGGGCTTCAGGGAGAACTGGATGCCTGAGATGGAGATGCTCTGCACTGGGTTGTCCAGAAGAGCCAGACTCCCAAGCTGGGAAGACTGGAGAGAGCCAAACCCTTAGCTGGGATGCGGGGAGAGACAGACCCCCTGAGGCAGAATATTGGAATATTAGGAGAGTGGATCTTCAGGCTGGAGACCAGAAGGACTGGGACTCTGGAGCTGGGATGTCAAGGAGCATCAGATATTTAAAACAGGATGCTGAAGAGAGCCAGACCCCTGAGTTGGGATGTTGAGAAAGAGCCAGAGCTCCAAGCTGTGATGTTAAGGATAGCTGGGACCTTGAGCTGGGGACTGGGAAAAACTGGAGCCCTGAGCTGGGACACCAGGGAGAGCCACACCCTAGGACTTACCAAAGCATTTACTCTGGTTGGTGGCACGGTCCACAAAGACTTTGGCAGAGATGACGTTGCCGAAAGGCAAAAACATCTGCGTGAGCTCCGCGTCCCCGAACTCCTGGGGCAGGTGATAAATAAACAGGTTACAGCCCTCGGGACCTGGGTGACAAAGGACAGGACATGTCAGCTGTGAGGTGGGGTCACCCCGGGGGACACCGAGGAGCCACCGGCCCCATGTGGGGTGACCCCCACCCCTCACCTTCTCTCTGCTGCTGCGGGATGAGGGGCGCTTGCTGGGGAAAGGCTTGGCTGATGGGAGCGTAGGCAGTGGGATATGCTGCTGGAAGAGAGAAAAAACAAGCTGAGGCCACAGCACCCGACCCAGCCACAGAGAGTGCTGGGACAGCCAGGTCCCCTGCTGCCACCTGTGATCGAGTGGCCTCTCCTACCCCACAGCTGCTAGCTCTGCCTTTCCCACCCCTCCTGACACACCAGAAATGTGGGAACAGCTCTCCCAGGAGAAATGCTTGTGATAGTAGTAATATAGCCTCAAGGCTGAGAAAAGATGATACTTTTCGCTGAAAAACCCCAAAGATTTGGAGTCCAAAACTCGATTTTCTGTTGCAAATCTGGCCGTTGCTGTCAATGCTCCTAATTAAATGTCTGCTGGGCTTGACATATTTCCATGGGAGGCTCTGACTCCTTTCCTTCCATGGCCCATTTCCTTGGCCATTAGACTTGGCCACGTGATGAACATCCAAATACATTTGGTGTCTTGGTGTGGAGGTGGCCCTCTGTCACCTCCCAGATCTTGTCCCCTCTTTTCAATACCACTGCCAGGGCTCCCCCATGGAGTTCTCTCAGCCCCATGGGTATTAAAATTCACTTTTCACTATCCAAAATTCGCACAGGGGGCCGTAAGAGGAGCCAGTGGGATGAGGGAACGGTGCTTTCATTGGCATTGCCAGCCTGGAGTTCCTGCCAGGGCTCAGCACCTGCTGCTCCCCTCATGAACTCATGCCCAAATACACAGCCCCCAGTCCAATGTTCAACCCCAGGGTGATGTTCACCTCCCAAAAATAAGGGTGAGGAGCAAAGAGGGGAGAGAGGGAAGGAGTGGGAAGCGAAGTTTGAGACCTGCATAGTGCTGCATGCCGGCGTAGGCCTGCTGGAGGGGGTCTGCCACCGTGGGGCTTTGAGCTGGGAAGAGAAGAGAAAGGAGAAGGAAGACAGAATAAGCCAGAGAAAGCCAGGGATGCATGCACAGCTCCCAGGGGAAAGGGCTCATGACCAAGCACCGCCACGGAGGGGCAGAGCTGCTCCCTGCCTGAATGCCCTCCTCCCTGCAGTGATGCCACAGGAGCACAAAGAGGTTCATCCAGCGTGTTCCTGGGATGGGGACACCCCTTGAGCATCCTGCATGAGCCGAGCACGCTCCCCTAGCCCCGGGGGCTGTGGTGGAGCCCCAGGAGGGCTGTACCTGGATAGGGGTGGATGCCATTGGTGTAGATGGTCTCTGAGGCGGGCTGCCCGTTGGTCTGGGGCGGCAGTGGGCTGAAGCCGTTCACCCCAATGGGCGTGGCAATGCTGGGCACCGGCGCCGTGCTGATCCCCGGAGGGGTGCTTGTACCTGCAGGTAGGTACACGTATGGCATCAGGGCTGGCATCACAGGAGTGCCCCTCGAGGATGTCAAGTGGCAAATGTGGGGGTCCTACCTGAAGAGGGGGTGAGGGGGGCAGCCACCAGCCCGCTGACATTGAAGGCGGCCATCTGTTGCATCTGGGCGGCAGCGATGGCAGCCATGGGGTTGAGGCAGGTGCCCTGCGCAGCCGCCATCAGGGCTGCCTGCTGCTGCATGATCTTCGGGAAAGAAGGGGAAAGGGGACAGAGCGCAGGAGGCAGGCAGAAGGAGAGAGAGGGGAGGGTAAATCAGCATCTCGGCTTTGGATGGATTCTGAGTGATAAATGCCACCTGCTACCAGACCCGGGGACAGGAGTCTTGGTCTTGGTGATGCTAAATATGGGACCACTGAACCCTACAACCACCCTCAGCTGTGGGCAGAAAGCCCTGCATCTGC